GTGCAGATCCCAAAGCACCCGATTGCCCAGCTGCCCCTTGTATGTGCGAGCCCCATCCGTGCTAGTGCTCACCCCAGCCTTGGCAAGCTTACGGAGGGAGATGAGGTTGGCCTTGAGGTCGGGAACGAGGAGAACGTCGTGCAGCACCACCGGCTTGCCATCCGCTCCCTTAAACGCAGCTCGTCCCGCACCAGCCACCTTCAGCGAGTGTCCAGAGGCGGAGCACACTTCGTTAATCGGTGCAGCGCGTACGTCGTCCAGCAGGTCTTTGCGCGGCGTCATCGTCCAAGCAGCGCCCGTGTCCAACACCCAATAGTCCAGGGGGTGCAGCTCTGCTCCAACCTTGGCAGAGGCGTCTCCTTGCTCCCCCTGCTCTCCAATATGGAAGAACTGGCCCGCGGTGCGCTCCTTCTTCTTCTCCGCACCACCGTTGCCCTTTGGGTTGTTGTCGGACGAATCAGCGACCATGTTCGCGCCGTTTTTCTGGTTCCTTCGCGCGCCGCCATCCTGTTGACGATTCTGGGGGGTCCATCCATCGGGTTTCTTATAGCACAAAAACCAGGGGTGCCCCTCCTTCTCACAATACCAGCAACTCCCTTTCATTTTGCCACCAGCACCCGACTTGCCCCCACGTCCAGATTTCGCACCGCGACCCCAACCGGTACCTCCTTGTTGGTCGTTGGAGTCGTCGTCCTTCTTTGCACCGCGCCCAGCACCACCGAAGCCACGTCCTCTGCCACGTCGGTTCCCTTGCATCCCGTAGCCGCTGCTGCCGTCGTCCCCACCCCTCAGTTGGCGGCGACGGAAGTCCTCCTCCAGAATCTTCGTCTGCACCCACTCGAGCGTCCACGAGCTCTGGTTCTGTGGCAGGCTCAATCCGCTCGTGAATTGAAGCCACGATTCCGGCAGCAGCGAGAGCATCTTCAGGCACTTGGTCTGCTCCGGGTAGGTGATTCCCGCGGTCGCCAACTTCGCGTAGAGGTCGCGCATCTTGTCCAGAACTGGTTGCACCGGCTCTCCCTCGCTCAATCGCAACGCGGACAGCTCTCTCTCCATCATAAGCGTCGCGGCGACGGAGGTAGGAGCGTGCAGCTCCTTCAGCACGGTCCACGCCTTCGGACCGCAATCAACCTCCGGCAGCAGGTGCATGACGTGGTGACGCTGGTTCAGCTCCAAACTCTGCGACATCAAGTAGTAGCCAGCCGATGCGCGCTCGTCCCAATCTTCCTGCAGCGCGGGGTCACTCGGTCTAGGCTCTTCCCCAATCATTAGTTTCAGCAATCCAATCTGACGGAAGTAAAGCTGCATTTTCCAGGCCCAATCATCATAGCCCTCACCATTGAACTTCTCGACGGTGAAATTCTTCAGCACCTCCTTGATGAGCGAGCTCTGGTTGGTTCGCGCTCCCCTTGGCGCCGAAACACCAGAATCTTGGCTGCCGCTACGATTTTGGGCTGAAGATTCACCAGCTCCCGCCGAGGTGTTGCCCGCCATAGCTACCTATAACGAGGATCACTATAACACAGCTCTGATACCAGCTTGTTGGTGTAAGGGCCTAATAAACTCAAGCTATTAGGACTTAATCAAATTTAAAACCTCTCCTCGGGGTCACCTCCAAAGGTCCCTGGGTGCCTGGTACAAGACCAGCCCCTATCCTCGGGTCCGAGTTTGTAGAGAAAGGGATCAATGAGGACTTAGTCAAAACAGCAAAAGTACCTTGAACGTCGCGCAGCGTGCCATGCAGACCGTCGATCGGATTAAGATGAGAATTCGCTATATCGAAGCTCGCTCCAAGAGCTTTAAAATGAGCCAAGTTGCCTTGCGAAAAGTTCTGCCATTACTAAGTTATGGCTTGGACAGCGTTTGCCTAGCGTTGGAGTGCTAGCATACTAGCGTTGACTCGGGTAGCATTCCGCCGTCGAATAGCGCAGAAACGAAATTCCAGCGAGGAAGGAATTTGCTTGAATCAATTGACTATATTCAGGTACAAACAGAGAAGGATTAAATAGTTCTAGCTAGCAAGGACCTTGGGAATCAACCTGGGAACAACCAGGGATGATCCCAAATAATTCCAAGCAACAGAACCAACCTGGCTGGACAAAATAGCAGGTGGTAGGTTGGTAAACAACCTCTGGTTTTGTTTTTCCAACCTGGGAAAACAACAACCAGGTTCAGGTTCTAAAAACAGAACCTGTTTTGTCTTTGCCCAACCAGCCAAATGCTGGTTCCGCTGGTTTCCCCTGGCCTTGTAGCATGCAGATACAGACAAACAACATCCAACCTTTACCTAAATTGTACCCCTATAGTGCCTTCCCTGCTACACTATAGTTAACCAAACAAAACAGTACAATTTCGAGTTGGATAGAACTGAATCTGCGCAATCAACTCAACCGAACTGCAAAGCTTCCATCTTGGGTTCCTTTGCGAGCTCGTCCTTTCTGCTTGCACTGTTCATAGCGCGTACAATGTTGTGCCGAAGCGCGCATTGCGCGAGTACCTGCAAATGCTTCAAGCGAAAATTGCGAAAGCAAACAAACACACGAACACACCATTCACACGCAAATGCATTTGCATACTCGTACAAACAGACGGCAGGATGTCGTGCAATGTGCATTTGCACCCAACAAGTGGTACTAAGAGTATGTGTGATACTTACTTAGCGAAATGAGTGGTACTAAGAGTAAGTGCATTATTTAGCGACATATGTGGTCCGTACTCAGCAAAATGTGTCGTACTAGCGTTATTTAGCGTTAAGAGCTGTACTTAGAGTATGTACGTAATCTAGAAATATGAGTCGTACAAAAAGTAAATGTGTTACTGAGCGATATGAGTGGTACTACGATTAAATGTGTTACTTGGCGATATGAGTGGTACTAAGAGTATGTGTGTTATTTAGCGATATGAATGATACTAAGAGTAAATGCGTTACTTAGCGATATAATTGGTACAAAGAGTAAATGCGTTACTTAGTGATATGATTTGTGCTAAGAGTAAGTGCGTCACTTAGCTATATGAGTGGTACGAAGAGTATGTGCGTTATTTAGCGATATGAGTGGTACTAAGAGTAAGTGCGTTACCTAGCAATATGAGTGGTACTAAAAGTAAGTGTGTTACTTAGCCATATGAGTGGTACTAAGAGTATGTGCGTTACTTAGTGGTATGAGTAGTACCAAGAATAGCATGAGTAGTATTAGGAGTAAGAACGTTACTTAGGGATATGGATGATACTAAAATTAAGCTCGATACTTAGGGATATGAGTGGTACTAAGAGTAATTGCGTTACTGTGTCATATGAGTGGTAGTAAGAGTAAGTGCGTTACTTAGCGAAATGAGTGGTACTAAGATTAAATGCGATACTTAGCGATATGAGTGGTACTAAGAGTAAATGTGTTACTTAGCGATATGATTGGCACTAAGAGTTGTGCAAAATCTAGCAATATGGATGGTACAAAGAGTAAATATGTTACTTCGCGATACGAGCGGTACTATGAGTAATTTCGTTACTTAGCAATATGGGTGATATTCAGAGTAGGTGCGTTACTTAACGATGCGAGCGGTACCAAGACAAAGTGCTGCGTAATTTAACAATATGAGTGGTACGGACCAACTGGTCAGTTGGACCAACAAGCCGGTTGGACCAACTAATCGGTTGGACCAACAAGCCGGTTGGACCAACTGATCTGTTAGAACAACAAGGCGGTTGGAACAGCTGATCTGTTGGACCAACAAGCCAGTTGGACCAACAAGCCGGTTGGACCAACTGGTCAGTTGGACCAACAAGCTGGTTGGACCAACTGATTTGTTGGACCAACAAGCCGGTTGGACCATGTTAAGTTGGACCAACTCGTCTCTTCGACCAACAAGCCGGTTTGACCAGCTGCTTTATTGGACCAGCAAGCTAGTTGGACCCACTGATCAGTTTGGCCAACAAAAAAAATGGACCAACCGGGCAGTTGTGCTAACAAGCCGGTTGGACCAACTGGTCAGTTGGACCAACAAGCCAGTTGGACCAGCTGATCTGTTGGACCAACAAGCCGGCTGGACCAGCTGATCTGTTGGACAAACAAGCCAGTTGGACGAGCTGATCTGTTGGACCAACACGCCGGTTGGACCAATTGATCAGTTAGACCAACACGAGGCCCGGTTGGACCAACTGGTCTGTTGGACCAAGAAGCCGGTTGGACCAACGGATCAGTCGGACCAACGAGCCGATTGGACCAACTGATTTATTGGACCAACAAGCCGGTTCGACCAGCTGAACTGGTGGACCAACACGCCTTTTGGACCAACTGGTCAGTTGGACCAACAAGCCAGTTGAACCAACAAGCCGGCTGGACCAACTAGTCAAATGGACCAACAAGTCGTTTGGACCAACTGATCAGTTGGACCAACAAGCCGGTTGGACCATGGTAAGTTGGACCAACAATTCGGTTGGACCAACTGGTCTCTTGAACCAACATGCCAGTTAGACCAGCTGGCCTGTTGAACCAACAAGCCAGTTAGACCAGCTGGCCTGTTGGACAAAAAAGCTAGTTGGACCCACTAGTCTGTTTGACCAACAAGACGATTGGACCAACCGGCCAGTCGTACTAACAAGCCGGCTGGACCAACTGGTCAATTGGACCAACAAGCCTGTTGGACCAGCTAGTGTGTTGGACCAATAAGCCGGCTCGACCAGCTGATCTGTTGGACCAACAAGCCGGTTGGACCAACAAGCCGGAGGTAGAGGGATACAGGGCATATGGAAGGGTTAAGAGGCGACAGGAGGAGCATGGTGCCAAGGGTTCACAAGGGTGATGTCCAGCAAGCAAGAGGTGGGTTTTTTCTCCTCTGCTTTGTGTCGCCACTTTCCCCCATCGTTCTCTCCCACCTGTCTCCCCCACGCTTCTCCCCTAACCTTCTCCCCCACCCCTCCCCTCCCCCACAACCTTCTCCCCCACCCCTCCCCCACAACCTTCTCCCCCACCCCTCCCCCACAACCTTCTCCCATGCGCCTCTCACTAGCCCCTCTCCCCTAACCCGCCCCTCTCTCTTACGTCTCCAACACCCCACTCCTCCACCTTCTCCTCCACCTTCTCCTCCACCTTCTCCTCCACCTTCTCCTCCACCTTCTCCTCCACCTTCTCCTCCACCTTCTCCTCCACCTTCTCCTCCACCTTCTCCTCCACCTTCTCCTCCACCTTCTCCTCCACCTTCTCCTCCACCTTCTCCTCCACCTTCTCCTCCACCTTCTCCTCCACCTTCTCCTCCACCTTCTCCTCCACCTTCTCCTCCACCTTCTCCTCCACCTTCTCCTCCACCTTCTCCTCCACCTTCTCCTCCACCTTCTCCTCCACCTTCTCCTCCACCTTCTCCTCCACCTTCTCCTCCACCCCTCTTCACGCCACCGTGCCGTGCCTCTGCCGCGGCCAGGAGGAGCCAACCCCCGAGGAGGAGGCAGAGGGATCCGGAGGGCAGCGCAGGTCGCGGTACGCGCAGATCACGGACGTGGGGCTGTAGGGCGGCCAGCACAGCCGAGCACAGGGCAGCCCTGCCCTCATGTGTGAGTGCCGGCTTGGCTCCTCGTTGCCAGGCTGAGCTGACGAATGGGCCTGGCATCGAGCTGCTCGCGCTACACCAAACCGCATGTCCTCGCGGGCCTGCTGTCCCCTCTCGGCCAGCTCACCTCGTGGGCAACGCTAGTCCCTGTACGCGTGGATCACAGACATGGGGCCGCCCTGTAGGGCGGCCAGCAGCGGCTGGCACAGGAAGGCGAGGCTGGCACCTCTTGGCCGGGTCACTCAGCGGGCAGCGCAAGTGGCTGTATGGCAGCAGCTGGCACTGCCCAGCCGCCCTCGCATGCCATCACCTGTGAGTGCCAGCTTGGGCGCGTCTGCCACCATCTTTGGGCAAGGAAGGGGCAAGAGGGGTAGTGTGGGTGGGTCAGGTAGGGACAGGACGTGCAGCGGGCAGGCTGGCTGCAGCAGGAGGTGGGTGGGCACGATGGACATGAGGGGTGTGGGTTGTGGCAAGGCCGGCAGCAGGCCCAATGTGGTGTGGTGATGAAAGGCGGAGGTTACCAGCCCGGGGAGGTACCTCATGACGTGTGGAGTGCACGGAGAGCAGCTTCCAGCGACCAGTGGCGCCACGGGTATGCAGCCGTGTGGGGTGGACGTCAGGGCTGACCTCCACCAGCCTGTTGCCTTGGTGTGGAGCGCGTTGCCTCACTGCGCTGCACCACCACTGCCACGGCCACTGCCCATGCTTGCCGCGAGTGATTGCCGCACCTCTGCTGGGCGAATCTGCTCAGTGGCTTGGCCTGGAAATGCTAGCCAGTTGCAGTGGGAAGGGAAAACGCTCAGCCCGAAAAGAGTTAGATCGAGTCTGTAGTCCGCTTGATGTTGCAGCGGGAAGCGTTCTAGGTCTGTGGGGCGGTCTGCATACAGCCGCTTTTTAAAACTGCTGCCTCTCCTGCCGCCTACCCAGTGGGTTTAGCGGCGCCTTGACGGTTGGAGGCCTGGTCAGCCATCACTTGAGGGCTCCAAGGGTGTTCATGGAGCTATGGGAGAAGGCATGGGCAGTGAGGAGGGCGATGGAGGTGCTGGCGGATACGGCGGCATGTTCTACCATGTAGGAGAGGCATGCTCCAAGGACACGGTTGTGTCGGCCAGCAAGGTTGCTCTTCACCGCTCCTCCCATTGGGTCATCGACACGGGAGCCTTCATGACCATGACCAACCGAGAGGATCTACTGGATGAAGTCAGGCCATCAAAGGCAGCCACCGTCGTTTCAGCCACCGGCCAAGTTGTACCCGTGCGTGGCGAGGGGAGAGCCATGTTCATGGGTGCGGATGGGAGGCTTGTGGGGCTGAAGCAGATTCTCCTTGTTCCTGGATTGTGTGCCAACCTCCTCTCTACCAAGGCCCTAAGTGAGGCAGGGATGAAGATGGAGATGTTGGGCACAAAGGTTTTCAAGGCAACTCTGGATGGGCGCGTGTTGTGGGACCTCCGAGGCGGCAAGGACATGCACCGGTCCATGTGGGAGATACCGGTGCTGCCATGGAAGGAGGCGGCTGCGCGCTTGGCTGCTGGAGATGTGAGAGGAGGGCATGTTAACCACGTGGGCAATGGAGGAGGTGGTGATGACGGTGATGGTGGGCTCCTTGGGCATGAAGGGGCTGCGCTACCAAGTGTAACTCCTAGCACGGGTGAGACGGATTGGCTCACCGCACACCGTCGCTTTGGCCACGTGGCGCTACCTCAGTTGCAGCAGCTGTTCAAGGAGGAAAGAGTCAAGGGGCTGAGGATAAAGGGGGAGCCCAAGGAGGTGGGATCTTGTGAGACTTGCTTGACCAGCAAGTTTTCACGGTTTCCCTTCCATTCGGTGGAGGGGAAGTCGAGTGACCCGGTGGAGCTCGTGCATGTGGATCTCGTGGGACCCATGAAGGTGAAGGGAGATGGTGGGCCCCTATATTCCATGACCATGGTGGATGACAACACAAGGCTCACCTGGTCCTTTCCATTTGCAAAGAAGAGTGGTGTTGCAAGGGTCATCATCGAAGTGTGGCTGCCCATGGTGGAGCGAGAGAGTGGCAAGCGGGTGAAGGCGATTCGTAGCGACCGTGGTGGGGAGTTCTTGGGAGCGGAGTTCCGGAGCTGGCTGAAGCGGCACAGCATCAAGCAGCAGCTTACCACGGCCTACACCCCTCAATCCAATGGCGTGGCAGAGAGAGCGAACCGGACCATCATGGAGGGCGGGAGAACGATGTTGGTAGACTCGGGTCTACCCTTACGGTTCTGGCCCCTCGCTATTCGCCATGCCACCGTCATCAAGAACCGAGTCTTGACTCATGTGGGAGGGCAGCATTGGGTCCCTATGGAGAAGTGGAGAGGCAAGAAGCCCCTGGTGGATATGCTTCGAGTCTTCGGGTGCATGGGACTCGTGCACGTCCCTAAGGAGAAGCGTGACAAGCTTCAAGCGGCGGCGGTGTGGGCTGTTCATTTGGGACTTGCACAAGGGAGCAAGGGGTAGCTGATGTGGGACCAAAAAACCAACACCATCTTCACCACCAGAGATGCCAAGTTCATGGAGGGGCTCATGTTCAAGGAGTGGTTGGAGCGAGGGAGGAGCAAGGTCACCATTCCGCTCGGAATAGAGGTGGGAACGAACGACCCACTTCTCATTCCCATCGAGTTGTCTTCATCTTCAGAGGTAACGGAGGTGTCACATGACTTGGGAGGTGCTGAAGGGGAGGCAGCAGAGGTAGAGGGAGTGTTGCAGCAAGAGGAGGCCCCTGTAGCTGAGAGAGGTGATGCCGAGGAGGAGGTGCAGCAGCCTACACCATCCCCTACACTTCCACCAAGGCGGACAACCCAAGGGAAGCGTGGTGCTGTCCGTGGTGGAGCTAAGGAAGGTGCAGCCAAGGAGAGGCCCAAGAGAGCTGCTCACCCAAGGAATTTCCTCAAGTATAAAATACTTGGGGGTCCCAAGGCATTGCTGGTCCAGGAGGAGGAAGATGATGAGGAGAAGGGAGCCGAGGGAGAGATGGAGCAGATTTGTTGCTTCGGTCTTCAAGGCACGCTACGTGGCTAGAGGGTTCAGTCAGCGCGAGGGGGTTGACTTCTTTCAGACCTTCGCGCCCACTCCGAAGATGACCACTCTTCGGGTGTTACTTCACGTAGCGGCGCAGAGGGACTACGAGCTACACTCCCTCGACTTCTCCACTGCCTTCCTGCAGGGCAGCCTACACGAGGAGATCTGGCTGCGTCGTCCTCCGGGCTTCACTGGCACCTTCCCGCCTGGGACCCAGTGGAGCCTCAGACGACCAGTCTACGGTCTCCGCCAGGCACCCCGTGAGTGGCACGACACTCTCCGCTCTACTCTGTCCGACCTCGGGTTTGAGCCGTCTTCCGCCGACCCGTCGTTGTTTGTTCGTCGTGGGCGCACACCTTTCTTCGTTCTGGTCTACGTTGACGACTTGGTTTTTGCCACAGCCGACACAGTTGCACTGGCGGAGGTGAAGTCCGAACTGCAAAAGAGACACACCTGCACTGACCTTGGGGAACTGCGCCGCTACCTTGGCCTGCAGATCTCCAGGGACAGAGCCGCTCGCACCATCACTCTGACTCAGTCACACATGGTGCAGCAGGTCCTTCAGCGGTTCGGGCTTCAGCACTCTTCTCCTACACCCACCCCTCTTGCTGTAGACCACAGACTCACTGGGCCTTTTCCTGACGAGCCGTTCGAGCCCAGTGGTCCTTACGCAGAGCTAGTGGGCTGCCTCATGTATCTGATGACGTGCACTTGCTCGGACCTCGCCTTCCCTCTTAGCATCCTTTCTCGCTTTGTTGCGACTAGGAGACACCGTCCTGTTCACTGGACGGCGGCTAAGAGGGTGGCGAAGTACCTCGCCACGACATCAGACATGGGGCTTGTACTTGGAGGGACACAGCCAGTTGTACTCACCGGTCACTGCGACTCCTCGTACGCCGACGACGTTGAGACTCAGAGGTCTACGCAGGGTTACTGTTTCAGCCTGGGCTCTGGAGCTGTTTCGTGGAGGTCTACTCGGTCCTCCTCTGTTGCGACTTCTACCGCAGAGGCCGAGATCTACGCTGGAGCCCTTGCTGCACAGGAGCTACGCTGGTTGACCTTCTTGCTCACTAACCTTGGTGAGCGGCCGAGCTCTGCACCGACCTTGTTTGCTGACAACAAGGTGATGATTCTCCTGTGTCGTGAGCCTCGACTGGAGAGCAGAGTGAAGCACATCGACGTCAGGTCCTTCTCCTTTCGAGAGTTGCAGAGACGCGGACAGGCACGTCTGGACTTCGTGGCCTCCGAGGCCAACACTGCAGACATCTTCACCAAGGCTCTTCAGCCTTGTGACCACCGCCGGTTTTGTCTGCAGTTAGGCCTCGTTGAGACTGGGTCTACTAGACTGCAGTAGTGAGTTCTTGAGACCCTAAACCCTAAACCCTAAACCTTGGTCTTGTGACCTTAGGTTGCGTTTTGTTGCTTGGCATTCCCCACTTAGGCTATGGGGGTGTGTCAAATGTTATAGCCTCTAGTGGGTTATGCTATATGGGGTACAAACAGTTAGGGTTAGGTATTTGTACCCCAACCCAATCAATCCAACTCATTCCGTTGTTTTCAGTTTGTGAGACTTCATGAGTTCCAGCAGTCAATGGCAAATGTTTAATACGGTACAAGGAAAGGAGTTCACCAATTGGATTTAAAGCCCGAGTCTAGAATGGCAAAGTTTCAAAATTATTGAAGTTGAAATCAGGTTGACGAAAGGTGGCGAGAGTAGAATTCGCATAACAGGGGTGGCGAAAGTTGATGACCCAACCGAACGTATTGCCTCCTTGCTTGTACTTTCGAGTTCAAGAAACCTGAAGATGGCGCAAAAGACAAAAGTGCCTCGAAAGTGCCTGAAGGCAAGATGCATCGAGGGATTGACTGAGCATGACAATGCTGTTACAAAATGGGTCTCAACATATACAGTACCAATTTGATAATTCGTAGGAATTATCCCCTAATTTGAGTGACGCCTTTCCATGGGTAATTGACCGACAGTAATGTTCATAACAAAACAGTTCCACGGTTTCATTATTGATGAACAAAAGGGCACAAACCAAGCAGATTTGACAGTGTCGAGTCAATTATTTCTACCGTAATACTAAAAAAATGTCAGTCCGATGTCCAATATCACTTTTCTTCCGGTTCAAACCCGCGGAAGGTGAGTGGTGGTGCTGCACATTCAAGGCAGGGGCGTAGTTTGAGAAGACCCTGGAGTGGAGTGCGAAACCAGGGAGCGGACACAGGTGGGGCAGCGAGAAGGAAAGGGCAGAAGGAAGAGAGGGGTGGGTTAGAAAGAGAGATGTAGGGAAGGGAGTGGAGGACAGGGACGCGAAGGGATGAAAGGACAATGAAGGGAAGGGACGATAGGAAAAGGGAAGGGACGATAGGACACAGGAAGGGACAAGAGGACAAGGAAGGGAAGGGACGAGGGGACAAGGGAGGGCAGGGGGGAAAACAGAAGAGAGGGAAAGGAGTGAAGTGGGAGGGTACATCAAGGTAGAGGGGCAAATAGGGAAGGGAGGAGAAGAGGAGAACAAGGGGCAGAGAGGGAGGATAGGAGAGGCAAAGAGGGAGAAGGGATGCAATGAGAAGAAAGAAAAGAGTGGGGGAGAAAGAAGGAGATGGTTCAGTGAGAGAAGGGAGGACATTTGAAGGGGGGATCAGAGGAGGTGCGAATAGATGGAAGGGGGGGGGGTGTGGGAATAAGGGCGGAGAGCAGAGGGGAGGCAAAAAACGAGTGAGGTGAGAAGGGCGGCGGGCAGGGGAAAGTGGAGGAAATGGGCATGTGGGAAGCTGAGAAGAGGGGTGGGGGGGACATGTGTGAGTGAAGGTTGCAGTCAGGGAAGGTTGCAGAGGAATGGAGGGAATGAGTACAGATGAGTGGAGGAAAGCGGGCATAAACGGAAGGGTGGAGACAAAAAGAGAGCGAAAGGAGGAAAACGGAAGTAGGTGCAAGTGGGGATGTGGAAAGTGGAAGGAATGACAAGGGGAGTGGAAGTGGTAGTGGGGAAGCAGCGCGGAGGGAAATGGGAGCAGCACGGGGAAGTGGGGAAGCGCGTACGGGAGGGGGAGCAGCGCGTGAGCGACACAGAAAGCGATGCGATGGGACGGGAGCAGGGAGGACGAGGGAAATGAGCGAGCAGGTGGAGATGAGCAGACATGGGGGAAGGGAAGGAGGGGACAGAGAGGCAAGGAAGGAGAGGAGAGGATATGGACGGGAGAGCGGCGAGGAGGAGATGTGTGGGTGAGTCGTGTGCGTCGTGTGTGAGTCACATGTGCCTGCGACGAGTGGGTGATGGGAGCGAGTGAACGACGGGAGCGAGAGAAGGATTAGAGTGGGCGCGACGGGGCGAGTGCAGGATTAGAGTGAGCGCGACGGGGCAAGTGCGGGATTAGAGTGAGCGCGACGGGGGAGCGAGAGCGGGATTAGAGTGAGCGCGACGGGGAGCGAGTGCGGGATTAGAGTGAGCGCGGGATGAGAGTGGAGCGGGGAGGGTGAGTGAGCGACGGGGGAGTGCGCAACGGGGGTGAGAACGGAACGAGAGTGAGTGCGAGATGGGAGGAGTGTGGGACGATAGGAGTAGTGCGGGACGGGAGGAGTGTGGGACGATAGGAGTAGTGCGGGACGGGAGGAGGGCAGGACGGGAGGAGGGCAGGACGGGAGGAGGGCAGGACGGGAGGAGTGCAGGACGGGAGGAGTGCGGGAAGGGAGTGGGTGAGCGACTGGGGTGAGTGCACGAAAACAGTTACGAACCTCGCCAATCACCACAAGGCCGACCAACTCACTTCTCAGAGAGTCGCGAAGGAACAGGTTTCTCAACCTGGTTACCATGTTATTTGGCGAAGTCAAGTTCAAGAATCTTGAAGTTGAAAAACGCCATTCTAGACTCGGGCTTTAAGTCTCAGCCCTAATTTAATAATACCACAGATTCTATATTCATAATTGATTCTAATATTGAGCTGAAAATATATGTTGGATTCTTGTGGAGCCTGGGGATGCTGGCATGCAGGTACACAAAGGACCTAAGTTCATGAGTGGAATAAGGATCTTCAGTGCTGAAGCCTGTCACACCCATCAATAGAGAAGTGCTCCAGCATTTTGAGGCTGGATATGTCGTCAGGCACAGCTTCCAACTGCTTGCAGTTGCTGAGATCAAGCTCCATGAGCCTGCTGAGTTGCGTAAAGCCAGGAGGAAGCAGCCGGATGCTGGTGTTGCTAGCGTTCAGCTCATGCAGGCAGGAGAGCTGCGTCGAGGAATCAGGGAGATGCGTGAGGGATGAGCAGTTGGATATATTCAGCCTGCGCAGTCTTGACAATGACCCAATTGCATCTGGAAGGGAAGATAACTTCGGCGCGTGGATCTTAAGGGATGTCAGGTGGTGGAGAGTGGTGATGGCGGCAGGCAACTCTGTGAGTTCATCACACGCAATGTCGATGTTCAGCTGCCGTAGCTCCTTCAAACATGAACCGTCAGATTTCAAAAGGTTTTGCAGGCAACGAGCCTTGTTTAGCTTCAATGTGCGGAGGCTAGGAAGCCTTGTCAACACGGACAGAAACTCTTCAGCACCTTCCCCCAGCACCAGCTCCAGACGCTCCAGACCAGAGAGACTGGCACCAATGTTGCACTGACAATGCCCAAGCACAGCTCCTTGAGCTCTGTGAGGCTTGAAATGCTTGGCAGCGACACCAACTGCTCATTATTTCTGTAGAATAGGGCCTGGAGACTAAGTGGCAGAGCCTGCGGGGCTTCCCTCAGCAGCCAACATCCCCTTAACTCCAACTCCTTCAGCCTAGTAAGCCTATCCAGCCTTGTGGGAAACGACAAGAGACTGCTACACCATTCAATCCTCAGCACTCGGAGGCTCATGAGCTCGGTCACACATTCTGGAAAATATGTTATGGCTAAACTGTTCCGAAAGTACAACTCCTGCAGTCTTGTCGTCTCCCCTATGTCCTCTGGCAACTCCGCAAACTTGCACTGATCCAGCTCCAAGCTGGTCAGCGAAGGCAGCTGCGTGAATGAGGGCGGCAGCTGCTCTTCATTGCTTCTGCGGACACATAGGGTTTGGAGATTGGTCAGCCCCGCAGCAGGTAGCTCGCCCACCCCCTCGCACTCAACCAGAAGAAATGTTTCCAGAGATGCGAGTCTGGTGAACGAACAAGGGAGACAGAGAAGCGGCAGCTCACGCAGCACCAGCGTTTTCAAGGCTGAAAGATTCCCAAAGCTCTCGGGCAGACTGGACACGTTGCATGAGGAAATGGTCAAGGTTTCCAGGCAGCTGAGGGAGGTAAATAGGTCTGTCAAGTCACTGAAGCTTCGACAGTGACTGATGCTGAGCTCTTGGAGGCTTGGAAGCAACTCTCCTATACTATCTGGAAGACACTCTTGGTCATTGCAGTAAGTAAGCTGCAACCGTTTCAAGGACGTGTAAAGAAAACCGGGCCGGAAAAAGTCGCTCAACTGTCCATGCCTTACTTCGAGTTTCAGTGAGTGGAGAGCAGGTAGCTGTGCGAGTGAGAAGTCTGGTGTATTTCTGGAAAAGACTCCAACATCAGGCAAGGAGAGGCGGGTGAGGTTGGTGAGTTGAAGAAGGCTGGAAAGCTGGTCGTGGTATAGGGAGGTGGTGTCAAATGAGAGTGCAGTGAGAGACGAAAGCGAGCTGAGTTTGGGAGCGGTTAAGATGGAAGCTTGATTCTTCAAGACGAGGGTGCGCAACGGTAGCTGAAAGAGAGAAGCTGGTGGCTCGGCATATTTCTCCCACCAATACAGCGACAGATGCTCTAGTTGAGGGCAGTGACGGGCGAGATGATCCAAGCCTGATTCGTCTATCAGACAGGCGGCCTTCCTTGCATGTCGATTCCTGCCCGCAAAGAGCGTCAACTCCCCTATGTGAAGCGCTCTTAGCCTAGGGCACGAAGAGGCGAGGTGAGCTAGAAAGGTGTTGTCCAGAGCTTCCACACTTCGATCCAACAGATGCAGATGGGTCAGATTGGGAAAGCAAGCGACCGCGGTGAGCACATCCTAACGAGAAACGACACGGTCCTCCTTGACGAGGAGCGTCGCAACATGACTCTGAGCGAGACGCCGCCAGCGACGGCAGATGGATGCAACTAGAAGGTTGTGAGCGGCATCTGCGGAGGCTGGAGGGGTCGGCATGGGAGTTTCTCTTTGCCAGGGTGAGCCCTCTGGACAAGCGTTGTAGATGTACTTGGGCTTGAACGGCCGAAAGATCCAAGTATCATCGCTCTCGGGTGTGTACGATTTCGATTGTATGGAAGGCCAGACGATGGTGACCAAGATATCGTCAGTGAGATGGTGGATGTGGGTTCTGATAGACTCCATGTCAGCCGTGAAGACAATAACAACCGGAAACTGAGGTGAAAGCTCCTCGTCGAGTGCGAGAGAATTTGAGCCAACAAATCACAGTTCACAACCAAGGCCTGCCTAAACGATCGACCACGGCCTGCCTAACGACAACTAGGTACGCCAACGCTGCTACGACTTGCAACGAACAATTGGGAGGGCACAAACGCGACTGTGTCCTGCTATGCTCTCTCAACTATTACAGTATAGACATTTGGGGAATCAGGTCGCAGCTCCTATGGAGCACTACTACTGTATACGTGACTTCACTGGGGCTTCTCGTGATCCATGGACGTGAAGGTCTACAATAGGGAGGTTCACAAGTCTTTTTTTTTTTTTATGCAAAATACACTAAAAGCGCATAATACATCGGCAGTCGTAACTGTAGCTGATGTGCCTAGGGGGAGAGCGCCCTCCGTACCCATCCTGGGGACGGAAGGCTGCCCTCGGGTTCGACCAAATGGCCATGAACCCCTTGGACCACATGGCCGGCTTTGTTGTGCTGTCAAAGATGTGGTTCGAGACAGTTGGAAAGCCGCCGCGATCCTCCGCAGTGCCCTCCGCGCTCTAAACTTGCTTCGTTCGAAGACCGCGTCACACCTCTCCACCCAGATCCGGTGGAACGCAATTGCTGTAATTGTAGCCTCAGGGAAACCCGAAGCTGTCCCCTCCTTCTTGAAAACCATGTCCCCCAGTGACTCGATCTTCCGATGCGGATTCATCATGCGGAGCGCCTTCAAGAGTGCCCGAACCACCGGCTGGATACGTGGGCAGAGAAACAGTCCATGTTCCAGCGTCTCCCTCTCCCCGCAGTGCGGGCATGCAACACCGGTGCGCAAAAAATGCAGCCGCTCCCCCACCTGCAGGTTCCGGCTGTGGATCCAGAGCATCACGTCCCGCGCACGGTTCAGGAGGACCATCGAGTCTCGCACATCGATCACCCGCCCCCAGTCAATCTGACGGCCGAGGGACTCCTCCCAGGTGGATTGCTGCTTCGGCTTTCCGCCACACCGTTTAAAACCCGCCTTCAGCTGCCTCAGCTGCGCCGGACGATCCCCCTCCCAGATGGGTGAGCACAGCAGCCTTGCCCTGGGTGCACCAGCGGGACCGAGGAAAAGCCCCTCCCTGACCACCGCGGGTAGCACCTCGTGCGGCTGAAAGCTGCGCAGCTTCTCCTCTGCATCCCCCAGTACCCCTCGAACACAGCTGATAGCTCGGCAGACTAGGGCTTCACCATCCACGCACTCAATCCTCCAGACACCGTAGCTCGTCCCCGTTTTCAGCACGAACTTAGAGACGGCTAGCACCGTATGCGCCGTGACTGGCGCCAGGAGCAGCTGCTTCCACTCATCCGGGGCAGCATCGAAGATCCACTTTGCCAGCTTAGCTCCCGCCGTGCCCCCAAACTCCCGCTCGAGCTCCTGGGTGTCCTTAAGAACTCTCGAGCCGTCCCCAGCAACTTTGATAAGGTCCCGCATGACTGACCGCTTTAGCCCCCTAGCCGCTTTTTGCCGACCTGCAGGCGTCTTCCCATTTAGAAGCAGCCGCCGATTGAAGAGCAGCAGCTCATTTTCCACATCCCACACCGATGACGCATTGATGCACGATGGGAAGCTGGACTCTAGGAACAGCTCGCAGGTCCGCTTCCATCGCATACACCTTCCCTCCTACTGCTTCATCAGCCCCGCGTGAGCCCAGAAAACCTGAAGATCAGGGACATCCAGCGCTGCCAGCGCGAGATCAGCACGCAGACCCAGCGGCTGCGACGCCAGCAACGCAATCCTCCTGGCCGCCAGGCCCCCCAGCTCAGCACACGGGTCCCGAACTCCAAGGCCGCCCTCCCCTCTCGCTTTGAACAGCAGCTCCTGGCTCCAGAGCGCGAAATGCTTCCCCGCCGTCGAGTGGTTTCCGGTGACGAAGTTGTGAAGCAGCTTCACCAGCTTCGCCCAGACCTCTGCTGGAGGTGGGTAAACCTGCGCCTGGAAGGCGAGAATCGGGTTAATGTACCCATTGACTACCGCGACCCTCCCTGACGTAGTCAAGTAGAGGATCTGCCATTTCACCAGCTCCGACGATGCTCTCACCAGGGTGATCTCCCAGGCCACCGAAGCATCTCCCGATGGTGAGACCCACACTCCCAATACCCTTTCCGCTTCATTCAACAACACCCACTTGAAAACTGATTTCTTGTCCGGTTTTTTACGCAGGTTTCTCCCCAGGGGCATAAGCGCGGACTTGTCATTATTCACACGGAGCCCCGACTTATCTCCAAACTCACTCAGCAGCTTCACCGCCCGGCCAATCTGCCTTTTCCCTTTGAGCACCAGCGTGGTGTCATCCGCATAACCCACGTACACCAGTCGGTCGCCATACGAGTTGCTAATTCCGAGTTTCCTTCTTCTTGCTTCCTACCAGAGAGGCTCCACCGCGCAAAGGAAGAGATAAGGCGCCAGAGGACACCCCTGCCGTACCCCCTTCTTGACCGCGACCGGCTCTCCCAGCCACCCGTTGAGCAACAACTCGTCGTTGATCCCGCGTGAAGACCTTCACACCACTGCACGAACTTCCGTGGAAAACTCATCCTCTCCATTGTGCCGAAGAGGTATTCCCGCGAGACCAAGTCAAAAGCCTTCTGGAAATCCACCAGAAGTAAGTACCAATCCTCATCCTTGCACTTCGCCGCTTCGACGATGTCCGCGATCAGCGAGACCCCATCAGCCAACCTTCTTCCTGGTAAGAAACCGTACTGTTCCTCCGAAATGACCGTATTCAGCACCTTCCGCATTCTGTTTGCCAGCACCCGCGCCACTAACTTGTATGTGCTGTTGAGCAGTGTGATCGGCCGGTAGTTTTGCACCTGGTCCTTCGTGCCCTTCTTGTGCAGCAGGACAGTGACGGCCTCCAGAGCAGCAGGAGGAAGGACGGCCGATTTCTCAAACTGCTTCGCGAAACCAAGCACGTCACCCCCCAGCGAGTCCCAGTGCTGGCTGAAAAACTCCTTCGGGATCCCGACAGCACCAGGAGACTTGCCCTTCGCCATGCCGTCAAGAGCCTCCTTTACCTCCGCTTCAGACCAATCTGCCAACAGCAGCTGAGTTTGCGCCTCACCCAACCTTTTGTCTGGAGCGACCGGCCAAAACGTGCTATCCGCAGTCGGGGCAGGTTCCGAGAACAACTCCGCGTAGAACTCAGATGCAGCCTCCAGAATCCCGCTCGAGTCCCTCCGCACCATTCCCTTCCATTGCAGCGATGTAATCATCGTCCTCTCCTTCCTTGTTTTGACCTTTGCCGGCATAAGCTTGCCGGGCATCTCCCCCTCTCGCAGCTCCTTGACCCCAGCCATGAGCGACACCCTCTCCTGCTCCGAGGCGAGGTACGCTGCCAGTTGGGACTCCTTGACCCTCAACTCCTCCTTCCGGGTGTAGCAGTAGGGGTTCCTCATCACCTCCTGCTGCAAAACCGCTACCGCATTGTCCAGGTGATTCAGGGTAGCCTTAACCCGCTTCCGTTCCTCGGTAGAATACTTCCGCAGTGCCATATTCATTTTCCTCATGAGCCAAGAGAACTCACCTGACCCCGACTTTCTGTGCTCCTCTCGAACAGCCGCAACCACCTTTGCCGCACCCGGCCTACCAATTTCTGCTGCCTTGCATCTCCATATTCCCGGCCCCATGCATAACTGCAGGTTGATTTTGAAGGTCACCTTCACTCCGAACCAGTGATCCGAAAGACCCTTCAGCGGCCGACAGTGCGACGCATCCGAGAGCAACGGCATCAGCGACGCCGAGACAAGGGCCCGATCAATACGCGAGCTTGTCTTGGCAGACCTGGACAGAAAGGTGAACTCCTTCAGCACCGGATTCATCCAGCGAAAAGCATCGATGAGGCAGTGCGCTGAACAGATCCGCATCACGCTGCCATATTCTCCCGATGAACCCGCTCCAGACGACCTATCCAGCAGTGGGTCCTCCACCATGTTAAGATCCCCAATCAGGATAAAATTTCTCTTTCCCGCAGAATGCGCCATAAAAGGAGCGAGCACCCCGTCATAAAACGGGCGACGTCTGCAGGCCTTCGCCGGGAAATAAGCGGCCAGGATCGTGCAGCAGAAAGAGTCCCACTGCACATCAGCCTGAAGCAACCGGCCCGAGCTGTGTGTGACAATGTTAGTGAAAACAAGTGACTTATTGAAGCTTAAGATGGCAACCCCCCCTGCCTTCCCCGCAGGACCGATCACGTGACAGTGGGGGACCTTGAGCCGCTTCCAAAAATCGTGGTCAGCACCAATCCTTGTGTCAGCTAAGACGAAAATATCCGGTGGTTTCTTTAGCCATGCCTTCAGATGCTTCTGCTTTCCCCTGCTCCCGAGCCCGTTGACGTTGAGCTCGCGTATTGACAGGTATGAGGCTTTATTCATTGGAAAACCGTCGAGAAGCCCCAAGCATCCACGGGCTGAGCAAGACACGGACAGCAGTTTTATAAAAGACAAGTACAGACACGGGCGACACTAACATGCAATTCCTGCCTCTCCTTCCTCCTTCTACAACCCATAATCCTTCTTCAGGTGCTTGAGGTTGATCTTCCCCTTCAGCATCCGGAGCGGCTCTCCCCCTTTCGGGGCTCCATGGCGGTGCCGCTGGGACAGCGCGTGATGCGCAGCCTGCTCGAACGACGAACCATGAGCCTTCTCGCAGCTGTCCTGAAGGCAGACCCACTCCTCCCGATTGCCACTGGTGGAAATAAGCACCAGGGACGGGTCCCTGAGAATAATCTTGGTCGTATCTGATGCAGTGGTCGCAGCAGCTGCGCAGCAACGATGTGAGAACTCGGGTAAAAAGGTAAGCGGAAAGCGACAGCGACACGAGTGGAACTCCTTTAGCAACAGCGCAAACAGCACAGCTGCCATTCAGCTCATGGACCCTCCCAATGGTAAGGTGCCATTTGGTGATGTTGTTCTGGCGCTCGACGACGAAATCGTTGTGGTTATGGATCGAGTGATGACCTCCGCACAAGCTGCACTTCAAAGTCGGGTAATGAATCAGCAGAGTCTCGTCATTATTAAGCAGATTCTCTATGTAATGCTTCCACCGGTATAAATCTCCCTCGTGTGCGACCACCAGCCCCTTAACCCGATCCGTATCCAGGCCGGTAATAGAGTCAACCGCACGGGAGAAGCAAAGACCCTCCTTGAACACCGACTTCTTCTTCTTCTTGAGCGGAGCCATGAGCATCCCTTTCAGCATTGCAGGTGAAATCTCGGCGGGGACCGCTTTGAAGTATAACTCAATAACCGCCGGATTCGTCGCCTTCTGCCTGGCGAAAGCGGGATCCACCGGATATTGCCAGTCAAAGGTAACGTAAATTCCATTCTTGCACTTATGCTCAACCTGATTACGCCACACAAAATTAGCGTCAGATGCTTTGTCAAAAGTAACCTGCATGCGACCATAAAGTTTCTTGTACAGAAAAACCAGCGTCAGCTCCTGGTACGTCGTGGTAAACTGAGCCTCATCGGACGACTCATCCTTCCAAATCCCCACCAATCCCTTGATCGTTGCCTGCGTGCGAGATACTTCCGGCAAGAACTCTTCAGGGAACAAAAGGGTGATCGGGTAGCGGGAGCGTGCTGCGATCTCGCCTTTTGACGCTTCCTCCACCTCCTCGTCAGAATCATAGGCAATAAGCCCGTCGTCCTCATCATTCAGCAGGTGCGAAACCTCCGACGGCCTCGCGCCATCATCAGCATTATCGTGTAAATCTCCATCGTCTTCACCATGAGATGCATCCTCTCCTTCGGAAGCAGCGTCAGAAACAACATGCTTAAAAACGACCTTCTCCTTACCCTTCTTGCCATCATGCGCACCTTCCTCAATGCGGATGGCTGCTAGCTTCGCCGCGGTTAGAGCTTCAGAGTCATCAGGCTGGAAGGGACCATTAGTCGTCTTCATGGCGGTAGCGGACTTGTGTGGAAGCCTTGACATAGACTTCGGCTTGGCTGGAGTCGTCGCTGGCGGAACAGTGGAGGTAACAGAAGCCAACGGAACCCCGGTACCAACAGTAGCAGCAGCAGCCGCAGCAGAAGCAGTAGCCGCGGTGACAGCAGCAGCAGCAGCCTTCTTAACACGAGGAGCCATCGTGCAATGATGAATAAAAAACCACCAGAGCCAGTGATGTACTGGAGAAATGCCAGAACTGAGCACGAACTGAATGTCCTTTGTAGGAGAATCAAAGACTGCTTCATGCTGCCTGTTAATAGCCTTGATAATAACCTGAAACCTTGGAAACGCCACCATGGAAACACCTCGCACGATAATCCCGAAACCATGATTTCTGCTCGTCCTCAGGGGAAAGGGACGAATTCTCGCTGTTTGAACATTTAAAAAATATCCACAGGTACCCTGAGAGAGGACGATCTCAATGGTTATGTTATTAGCGGGAATGTCATACAATAGGTGGTACATTGGCGAGTTCCAGGGTCTCGGTAAAATCCATGGCTGCCATGAGGCGGAGAGCAGGAGCATCATCCAACTGCGCTGGGAGAGCGGTCGAGGTTCACAAGTCTGGCACTTCGGCATGGTAGGGTTCTACGCAAGGGAATCCCGTTGGCTCCTGGGAAAAGCCACCCCAAGTTCATGGTTTGTGCGTCACTTCATGTTTCACTGCACAACTTGGTGAGTATCGGTTCAAAACGGTGATGTGAATACCATACTAGAGTGCTCGACATCGTTCTCAACCGTTTTTCAGCTGACTTCTTGAAGGCGGAACCCCAGGCCAACTGTTTTTGTTTGTTTGGGTTCGGCACGAAGATAGAGGAGGAGCAGGGATGAGGTTTGCATCTCAAACTTTCTAAACTGTAGAGGCACCAAAGTATTGGTTGGGATGGATTGGGAGATATATTAAGCGGTGACATAAAATGATGCCTTCGCTACGAGACTGCGATGCAAACTGAATTTCCGCCGCGCAGCGATGCAACACGTTGCGCTGCGAGCATATTAATCTTCAAGCTTCAGAACAGCCTGAGTAACATTCGCACACGACGAGAATGTCATCGTCAACGGGCTTCTATAGTACCGCAATAGCTACTCCGCCCCTATTAGTAGCGCCACGCAAGTCGCCGGACCAATTACCCTCGAGCAGCGTGAACCGATGTCGAGTCGAGTACCTTTGAGTTTGAGGCGCTCCTTCCGCCGCGCAGCGATGCAACACGTTGCTCACAGTTTTTCGCAGCCAGCAGCATATTCGCTCTTGAATTCCATTCTACTCTCACTCGCCTCAGTCTCCCTCGTTTCGAATGCCGAACCCCGGCAATTCTGAATCCCGCGTTTTTTCCCCAAGCGCCTCATGGCTCCCTCTTTCAGCCTCATCCTTGACGCTGCCTCGAGTCAGCGCTTTGCTGCTGCTGCTGCGGGTCGCCATCCACCTCGCTGCGGTTGGGGTCGATCCCGGTAAACGGGAATCCGCAGTTTCACCGACGGATTTCCCGTCTGTACTATTTCGCGAATAAACAGAATGTCGTGGGTCGCAAGCCTTGTCTTGACGGTCGCTGTTGCCTGTTGATGCGAATCGCCAGTCGCGTCGGTCGGATGATGATGGTGTCGCCGATCGGCTGCATGCACGACTGGTCACAGGCTGTTCAAGCGCTGTAATAGGCGCATTTCTTCCGAGGCGTCGGGGATGCCGTGGATTCATGCTTCCACTCTTGGGACGGTGAATTAGGGTTACGAGGGCGCGTTGATGCTCATGCTGATGGTACGCTGCAGCTTTTCGTGTTTCACAATTTCCCGTATGCATTCACGACAGGACAGCAAGCCGTTTTTTATCTGGTGCTAAAATGAATAGAGTCTACGACAGTCATGGCAGATGGCCTTTTCCGGACATGATTGCATCTCTACCTCCTCCCTCTCAACTTGCCTCCCCCTCCCCCCCTCTTTTGTTTTCCCCTCGTCTGCTCCTCAATCCCCGCTTCTCTGCTCGCACATCCCCACGGCTCCAGAGCGTGCAGAGCAGCAGCACACATGGGGAAATGGGAGCCAGCGCCTGAGCTTCGCATGGCTGCTCACACATTCCAATTGAGCAATCGCACTCCCACGGCTCTTCAAGGCTTTCACTGAACTCGCTTTATGAATGGGGTGAGTGCAACTGTGCTTCATCCGTGCACACTTGCACAGCAGAGAGGGTGTAGCTTCTCCGAAGCAACGTTCGCGGTGGCAGTGGCGGTAGCTGGGGGGAGAGCAAGAAGGAGGGGTGGTGGAAGAGGGGCTGCTGTGGGGGAGGCGGAGGCCATTGAAGTGAAGACGCGTTGGGTTATACCACTGGGTGGCAAAGGGCAAGCCGGATATCACCAAGGTGAGTGCAGGGCAGGGATGCAGCTTGAGGAGATAGTGACTGTTGGAACTGCCTCGCTGGCATGATGGCTCACATTACACTCGCCGCTGCACCATTGCCCCACCATTGCACCCCCAGCTGTGCGCCTGTAACGCACCACCTAACTTCTTCCTAGTCTAGGTCGAGAAATGTCTCGACCGAAATCGGGCTATGGGAGTTGAAGGTTGAGTTGGGAGAGAAAGGTTGGCTTGGTATTCCAAACCTCAACTTTGAGGCTTGGAACTTTCCAACCCAACAAAAGTGAAGATTGAAAGGATGGACTTCCAACCAATCAGAACTTGCCAGTTGTTGTTACAATCCACACAAATCTTAAGACAACCATACAATTGTGCTAAGTTGGGTTTTCCCCAACCAAACTAAAATGCCACCTAGGCTCCAAGCCTAATAGCTCCCCAACCATGGAAGCCATGGTTGGGAAGAACCTAAGGGGTATTGTGGAAGGGGTTGGAGCTTTCAAGCTCATTCCCACTTCCCAACTCCAACTTACCAACTTCAAAATGGGATTTTCACCCTAAGTCTTTGTTTCTCCTAACAAGCTCTCCTACACAACTAGAGTGTTGTTTCTTTCAAGGATAAGCTCTACAAGAAGCTACCTAACCACTCAAGCTTCACCAACAACTATCTCAAGCTCTCATCTCAAGCTCCTTTCTATATTACTTCAACGCTAGAATATCCCTTGGTGAGATTAGTTTAATCATGAAAGCATTGTATCTTGATTTTATATAAATTGTCAAAGAGGATCTATATTAAACACACGGTTGCCCGTTGTTATAAGGGCCGTGGTTGTTACATTGGTATCTAGAGCTAGGGTTATCCTAAGCCTAGTGGGGATTTTGCCCCTAGAGATTTTTTTTTATAGATCTTGGAGTTGTGGTTTCTCTTTAAGAGAACGCTCAAGATCAGGAAGCTTGAAGAGTTCAAGATCTACAAGATCTACAACTACAACTTCAAGCTAAGAAGAGAGATTTATCTCTCTTGCCCACCTTTTGGTGGAAGACTCTCTACTATTGAGTAGTGGAGTATAAACTTGGATCTGGAGGATTTGTTGAGGGTTATATACAAGTTCTCTTTATTGAGATTTGGATAGACCCTGCCCTTTCACTTCGGTGATTGGGAGTGCTTGACAACAAATCTGTTACCTTCGGTAACCTTGGATTATTCTGTAGAAGAAATTTCTTTTATAAGAATTTCTTGCTTTACCATTGAAGTGGTAAAAGGTTTTTAACAGAATCAACCTAGATCATAAAAGCTCCCTTAATCCTTATGGCATCTGGCCAAGAGAAGGATATGGCAAGGGAGGAAGGGCCCACTGCACCTAATGAGGTGGTGAACAATGCTGCTGAGATTGACCTCAATCAAGATGAGGCAATGGCTGACATTGAGCTGGATGACATCGAGAACTTGGACCTGGAGGATGAGGATACCTATGTTGAAGTTAATAACCATGGTGAAGCTGATAACCATGGTGAAGCTGATAACAATGGGGAGGGGGACAACACCGGTGAAAAGGAGAACACTGGTGATGAAAATGACTTCACTGAGGGTGAAGGCATGAGTTATCCTATCTCCGAGGAGATTGTCCAACTCTAGGCTAAAGTGGCAACTCAGAATATCACCATCTTGCAGCAGCAGACGTCCATTGACGGACTCAAGAAGCATACTCAGTACCTTGAGGCTGATCTGCGGATTGCCATGAAGGAGGTCACTGACTTCCGTCGCAGCCTGGGCACTAAAAACCGCCAAATTAAGTGGCTTCAAAAGACTTGCAATAATCTGCAAGCATCATTCAACAAGCTCCATGAGCAGTTTAAGGAACTTAGGATGGAGGGCATTTACCAGCCTCCTCCTGGGCGTAGGCCCACTTCTGCTACTCAGCCGGCACCTGCTACGCCGGTAGGCGCTGCGACGGCTATGCACCAGCCACCTCCAACCGAGACCTCGCCCTTTGGGTCTCTCTCGGCGCCTCTGCCTGAGTTTAACCATAGCAAGACGGAGGTACAGCCTTGGCTTGACCTGGTGAATGACACCATGACCCTTGCAAATGTGCGTCCTCAGGCTCGCGTTACTGCAGCCACTCGTGCATTGGACGAGGTGGCCCGCAGGGCAGTGTATGGCGCTAAGAAGCAGGCCCAGGGACCGTTTGAATGGCCGGAGTTCTGCACCGCGCTGACAGAGGCATTTATAGTGAAGAAGTCCGATCTGGAGCTGCGCGGACGCCTTGAGAATATCAAGTGTCGTGACCGTTCGGTGCAGGAATATGCGGTCGAGTTTGAGGCCGCAGCACGCTTGCTCCAGAAGCCCTTGTCTGAGGAGGAGATGATGCACGTCTTCATGAAAGGCCTCCCTGTCAAGCTGCAGGTGGCACACATGACCGGTGGTATGACCAATTGGACGACTTACAAGGAAATGAAGGAGCAGGTGATCAGAGCTGACAACATCTTCCGCACGTACATTTATGGTCCTGCAAAACCGGACCAGCAGCCCCGTGCTGAGGGCTCTAGTGGTCGTGGGAACCAACCCCAGAATGCCAATGGCGGAGGTGGTTGGAACAAGAGGCCTTTCCAGCAGCGAGATCACCAGTCTGGACCACAGGCCAAGAGGGCTAACGGGGGGGGAGGTCGTGGCCCTAACAAGCCGGACTTCTCCAACAAGCAGTGCAATGGCTGTGGAAGGATGGGGCACATTGAAAAGCATTGCCGTGACAAGAACGCAATCAAGTACTCTGGGAAGCCTAAGCCAGGCGGCGCTGGACCTTCTGGAAAGAAGGATTTCCAGAAGCCCAACTAGGGTGTTGGGTGCAAATGCACATTGCACGACATCCTGCCGTCTGTTTGTACGAGTATGCGTGTGCGAATGCATTTGCGTGTGAATGGTGTGTTCGTGTGTTTGTTTGCTTTCGCATTTTTCGCTTGATGCATTTGCAGGTACTCGCGCAATGTGCGCTTTGGCACAACATTGTATGCGCTATGAACAGTGCAAGCAGGAAGGACAAGCTCGCAAAGGAACCCAGGATGGAAGCTTTGCAGTTCGGTTGAGTTGATTGCGCAGATTCAGTTCTATCCAACTCGAAATTGTACTGTTTTGTTTGGTTAACTATAGTGTAGCAGGGAAGGCACTATAGGGGTACAATTTAGGTAAAGGTTGGATGTTGTTTGTCTGTATCTGCATGCTACAAGGCCAGGGGAAACCAGCGGAACCAGCATTTGGCTGGTTGGGCAAAGACAAAACAGGTTCTGTTTTTAGAACCTGAACCTGGTTGTTGTTTTCCCAGGTTGGAAAAACAGAACCAGAGGTTGTTTACCAACCTACCACCTGCTATTTTGTCCAGCCAGGTTGGTTCTGTTGCTTGGAATTATTTGGGATCATCCCTGGTTGTTCCCAGGTTGATTCCCAAGGTCCTTGCTAGCTAGAACTATTTAATCCTTCTCTGTTTGTACCTGAATATAGTCAATTGATTCATGCGAATTCCTTCCTCGCTGGAATTTCGTTTCTACGCGGTTCGTTGGCGGAATGCTACCCGAGTCAACGCTAGTACGCTAGCACTCTAATGCTAGGCAAACACCGTCTGAGCCATAACTTCGTAATGGCAGAACTTTTCGCGAGGCAACTTGGCTCATTTTAAAGCTCTTGGAGCGAGCTTCGATATAGCGAATTCTCAGCTTAATCCGACCGACGGTCTGCACGGCACGCTGCGCGACGTTCAAGGTACTCTTGCTGTTTTGACTAAGTCCTTCTTGATCCCTCTCTCTACAAACTCGGACCCGAGGATAGGGGCTGGTCTTGTATCAGGCACCCAGGGACCCTTGGAGGTGACCCCGAGGAGAGGTTTTAAGTTTGATTAAGTCCTAATAGCTTGAGTTTATTAGGCCCTTACACCGACAAGCTGGTATCAGAGCTGCGTTATAGTGATCCTCGTTATAGGTAGCTATGGCGGGCAACACCTCGGCGGGAGCTGGTGAATCTTCAGCCCAAGATCGTAGCGGCAGCCAAGATTCTGGTCTTTCAGCGCCACGGGGAGCGCGAACAAACCAGGGCTCGCTTGTCAAGGAGGTGCTGAAGAATTTCACCGTCGAGAAGTTCAATGGTGAGGGCTATGATGATTGGGCCTGGAAAATGCAATTATATTTCCGTCAGATCGGTTTGCTGAAACTAATGATTGGGGAGGAGCCTAGACCGAGTGACCCCACGCTGCAGGAAGATTGGGACGAGCGCTCCTCGGCTGGCTACTATTTGATGTCGCAGAGTTTGGAGCTGAACCAGCGTCACCACGTCATGCACCTGCTGCCGGAGGTTGAATGCGGTCCGAAGGCGTGGACCGTGTTGAAGGAGCTGCACGCCCCGACCTCCGTTGTCGCAACGTTGATGCTGGAGAGGGAGCTGTCCGCGTTGCGCCTGAGCGAGGGAGAGCCGGTGCAACCAGTCCTGGACAAGATGCGCGACCTCTACGCGAAGTTGGCGACCACGGGAATCACCTACCCGGAGCAGACCAAGTGCTTGAAGATGCTCTCGCTGCTGCCAGAATCGTGGCTTCAATTTACGAGCGGATTGAGCCTGCCGCAGAACCAGAGCTTGTGGACGCTCGAGTGGGTGCGGACGAAGATTCTGGAGGAGGACTTCCGTCGCCGCCAACTGAGGGGTGGAGACGACGGCAGCAGCGGCTACGGGATGCAAGGGAGCCGACGTGGCAGAGGACGTGGCTTCGGTGGTGCTGGACGCGGTGCAAAGAAAGACGACGACTCCAACGACCAACAAGGAGGTACCGGTTGGGGTCGCGGTGCGAAATCTGGACGTGGGGGCAAGTCGGGTGCTGGTGGCAAAATGAAAGGGAGTTGCTGGTATTGTGAGAAGGAAGGGCACCCCTGGTTTTTGTGCTATAAGAAACCCGATGGATGGACCCCCCAGAATCGTCACCAGGATGGCGGCGCGCGGAGGAACCAGAAAAACGGCGCCAACATGGTCGCTGATTCGTCCGACAACAACCCGAAGGGCAACGGCGGTGCGGAGAAGAAGAAGGAGCGCACCGCGGGCCAATTCTTCCATGTAGGAGACAAGGGGGAGCAAGGAGACGCCTCTGCCAAAGTTGGAGCAGAGCTGCACCCCCTAGACTATTGGGTGTTGGACACAGGCGCTGCTTGGACGATGACGCCGCGCAAGGACCTGCTGGACGAAGTACGAGCTGCACCGATCAATGAAGTGTGCTCCGCCTCTGGACACATGTTGAAGGTGGCTGGTGCGGGACGAGCTGCGTTTAAGGGAGCGGATGGCAAGCCGGTGGTGCTGCACGACGTTCTCTTCGTCCCCGACCTGAAGGCCAACCTTATCTCCCTCCGTAAGCTTGGCAAGGCTGGGGTGAACACCAACACGGATGGGGCACGCACTTATAAGGGGAAGCTGGGCAATCGGGTGCTTTGGGATCTGCACGAGAGCAAGGACGTGTACAGATCTATGTGGCAGCTGCCGGCCCTGGCGTGGCATGGTGGGGGGCAGGCTGGAGAGGGGTCTGCATCCCAGGGGGAGTGCAATGCCGTTGGAGGGGTTGGTGTGAAAGTGTCGGCCAGATCTGGGGAGACAGATTGGGCAACGGCACACCGGCGCTTAGGGCATGTGGCAATGCCTTTGCTGAAGCAGCTGGAGAAGGATGGAGCCGTTAAGGGTCTGAAGCTGAACGGACAGCCACCCGATGACAACTGTGAAATCTGTTTGCTTTCAAAGTTCACCCGTTTCCCTTTCCATAGTGTGGCTGGCAGGAGCAAGAAGCCTTTGGAGCTGGTCCACATGGACTTGGTGGGGCCGCTGCCGGTGCAAGGGCACAAGGGGGAGCGGTATTTTCTTACAATTGTGGATGACTGGAGCAGGCTGATGTGGGCGTATCCGCTGAAGCAGAAGGACCACGCCGCCTCCACGATACGGGACGATTGGCTGCCATTCGTGGAGAAGCAGGCGGAGTGTGTAGTGAAGCGGATTAGGACAGACCGGGGTGGTGAGTTCCTTGGAGCTGAAATGACGGCCTGGCTCAAGAAGCAGGGCATCCAGAGAGAGCTGACCACGGCTTATACCCCACAGTCCAATGGTGTAGCAGAACGGGCAAACCGGACCATTCTGGAGACAGCTAGGGCGCTGCTCATAGAATCTGGGCTGAGCAATTCTATGTGGCCTCATGCTGTCCGGCACGCCACTGTCGCTAGGAACAGGGTGCTCACCAAGGTTGGGGATGACTCGTGGGTGCCGTTGGAGAGGTGGCTTGGGAGGAAGCCGCCGGTGGACATGCTGAGGGTGTTCGGTTGCATGGCAGTCGCCCACGTCCCCAAGACCTACCGCAGTAAGTTGGGGGCGAGTGCAATCTGGTGTGTGCATTTGGGGCTGGCTGCTGAGAGCAAGGGATGGCTGCTGTGGGAACCATCCAAGGGTGTGTTGTTTGACAGCAGGGATGTGAAATTCATTGAGGGCATGATGTATGGGAGCTGGGAGAAACAGCCGGAGGCAAGGGTGTCCCAGCAGATGGAGCAGATCACCATGCAGCTGGACCTGACTCCTAGTGTGTGGGAGGAGGGAGAGGAGGCAGCTGCTGGAAATGGTGATGGAGAGAAGGT